CAAAATTTAACTAAGTTTGACTTAATTTTTATTGTAACATTTCATTTCATCATCCTGTATCCTTCCAGTAGTAGCCATCAGATATCTCTTGCCATTTGTAAAATCTGTATTCTATTTATTTTCTTGATAAATCTCATGTGGACTTCTCTTGGCAATTTGTTGTTCATTGCATATCTTTTAAGAACTCGAGTGGCCTGCAGTACTGCACCCTAACCACTGCGCCACCTCGGCTCATTATTAATTATCATTATTATTACATACATTAAATAAGTATCATTATTATTATCATTATCATCATCATTATTATTACATACATTAAATAAGTAAATAAATAAAATATGAAGACCCCTAAGCATACTCTTTTTTGACCTGTTAGATAACTTGGCACTAGAACAACATTGCTATTTCATTGCTTGCTCATATTTTATATAGGTTAATCAGTGTAATAATGATAATAGATTGCTTACCCAGGATATTCTCTGTCTTCCTTCGTTCAATAATGAGTATATCTGTAGCACCAGCAGGAATATTGGTGATAAATATGTATCCTGGGAATGGGAAATATAGAAAAGTCAGAACAATTAAAATCAGAAAGAAACACATGGAGGGACTGCAACAATTCTGTACAGCTTCAAATGTATGCAGTGCTTCCTTATCCATCTTCCTGGCACTCTGTTTATCTTCTTCAATTCACTCTGTCTTATAGGCTATTTCATAATCCCTCAGTTCAACCACCAGTAATTCATTGCTTGCTTTTAAAAATGCAGAATAAAGATACCTGCATGAACAATATAATCTTAATTAATTTAAGAATAGATCTGGACTTCCTCAATTGAAAATATTTATAACATGGAGAGTTTCCCAAGAGTGTTGAGCCACAGCTCCCTGTAACTTCATTATTTATGGCTAAGGACAATGAAACGGCAGCAATTGTTGTTCAGCAATATTTAGAAAGTTATTTATCTGAACTGTTCCCCGTTACAAAATGACATGAGCTATTCTTCGTGGAAGAAAATAACCTCAACAAGGGTCACTGAACTTTTCTATTTATTAAATTCTATTCTATTGTATTTATTAAATTTATAGGCCGCCCAATCCCGGAGGACTTTTCTCTATCTCCTGCTTTTTCATTGGAGGTTTCTATTTTATAGGCTTTTGCCTGTGATAGGTTTTAGGCGCAGGATGAAAGAATAAATATGCCAATGGAATTCAACAGTGCCATATCAGGTGGCTATGGCAATGTACTGCATATTATCATTCTGCTCTAAAAAGATGCCCAATTCAGTATCAGACTCCAAAATAAAGGCATCAGATGGGGTCGAAAAGTCAGAACAATTAAAATCAGATGAACAGATCTTTTTTTCCTGTAAAGCAGCCATGTTCTTTCTGTTTTGCCATAGTAGCTAACTCGCTGAAAATGTGGAGAATTTCTGGGCCACTCCATGCATGACTCTCGGCAGAGAGTTACAGATAATCTCTTCAATTTATCAGCAGATGTACCGGGAATGAGATTCTCTGCATTCTTATAGTGCCTGGCCTTTGGGGAATTAGAGTTTTAATGTGTCTGGAGGTCATCAGGTCTCCTTATGATAAACAGGCTTGTTTCGTTCAAAACATTTTATACAGCTAAAAAATATACAGTGTGTAAGAGTTTCTAGTTAGGCCAAGTCTCAATTCTTTTTTTAAAAAAAAAACAGGGTGATGTTGTTATCATTATGTTCGTGCCATTACAAAATCTCCTCTCTGTAGCTGGAGATTTATCAGAAGGTAAACTGGAACCCTTGCAGCTCCTGTGTGTTGATGGAGTTGCAAACCTCCCTCTACACCAGACCGACACATCCCTCAATGTCGGAGGTAAGGAACGATGGCTCCTTTATGACTTGTGGACTTCAACTCCCAGAACTCCTGAACCAGCAGAATTCCTGAGCCAGAATTCTGGAAGTTGAAGTCCACAAGTCAAAAAATGCTGTTCCCCTCCTCTGCTCTGTGTGAATGCCTGATGACAACGCACATTAGCAATGGATTCTCTCCTTCAAGAAAATCCTACTAATCATAGTTCAGGGAGCACTCAATCCACAAAACCTCCAAGGACTGGGCCAAAACATATGAACTGTATGAATGAAGCAGTGGTGGGTTTCAAAAAAGTTTCGAACCTACTCTGTGGGTGTGGCCTCGTTTGTGGGAGTGGCTTGCCGGCCATGTGACCTGGTGGGAGTGGCTTGCCAGCCATGTGTTTTCTCTGTCTCTCGCTGTCTCTCTCTCTCTCTTTCCTTCCTTTTGTCTCTCTGTCCCCTTTTCCTTTTTTTCTTTCATCTCTCACTTTTTCTTTCCTTTTTTCTTTCTTTCTTTCTTTCTTTCTTTCTTTCTTTCTTCTTTTCTTCCTTTCTTTCTCGTTCTCTGTGTGTGTGTGTCTGTGTGTGTCAGTGGTGGGTTTCAAAACATTTTGGAGCCTCTTCTGTAGGTGTGGCCTGCTTCCCGGGTCCACTGGTGGAACCTCCTCTAACCGGTTCGGTAGATTTGACGAACCGGTTCTACCGAACTGGTGCGAACTGGTAGGAACCCACCTCTGGAGTGAAGGACAACTAGCTTGCCTCTCAAATTTACAGTAACCAAATGGATCAATAGTTGCATTTTCTTTCATCCCTGGAATCAGAACACATGCTGAAGCATTCGTTACTGGACGGAGGAGGGGGTCAGAACACTTTATTATGTTTATAAACAATGTAAATGTATCTAATATTCCTTTCTCCTCCTATTTTTCCCCAAAACAACCCTGTGAGGTGGGTTTGGACTGAGAGTGACTGTCCCAAAGTTACCCAATCAGTGTTCATGCCTAAGGCAGGACTAGAACTCACCCTTTCCTGGATCCTAAGCAAGTACCTTCACCACTAGACCAAACTGACTCAGTTGTCTAAGTAAGTAAGAGGGTCGCAAAAGCATAATACAAAATAGCTCAGTGCTGTTAGCAAAGTGTACCTAACTGTGAGATCCCCTTTCGGAAACTGCCTGAGACTCGGTAGCAAGTGCTTCCATCTCCTCCACATACCCGGCATCGATCCATCACCTGGGAAGAGTAGAGGCTGCCATCACACCCTATTGGCTAGGAAGAAAAGGAAGGGCCAGTTTGAAATCTTACTTATGGATCAAGCGCTTTGTCCCCGCCCTTCCTCAACCGATGCGTATAGCTCTATTTCTTACCCCTTATTTTTTTAAAGCTTGACTCTTTTCTCTGCTCCGTCTCCCTTGCTCAAAATTTAGATTCTCACCATTAACATTTTGGAGTGCGGTTTCAGCCCAACGCAACGCTCCGTAGCTCTTCTTCTCTCACTTCAGTTGCGCGTACATTTCGTGAACCCTAGCCCTTGGAAATTTAATCTTCCTTCATTTAGAGATTTTTAAAAGCTATAAAATTGTGCACAGCCTGACAAACGTTCTCTCTGATCAGAGCAGAATCCAGTGATTTGTTGGGTTCCACCACAAATCTGCGGTAGACTAAAGCGCGCTCGATGAAAGCGCGTACGTGACGTCATCACAGCGCGACGAAAACGGCACGCTGTGAGCGGTAAATTTAAAATTAACACAAAAACCTTATCCTAACCCCACCAAACCTAACCCTAAACCTAACCCTAAGCCTAACCCTTAACCTAACCCTAAACCTAACGCTAATCCTTACCCTAACCCTAAACCTAACCCTAACCCTTACCCTTAACCTAACCCTAAACCTAACGCTAATCCTTA